TTGCGACTTGCTTCCTCGCGCGCTCGCGGATCGACCAGTTCCAAGCCTTGCACGGGTGTGAAGGCGATGGAGCTCGTTCCTGCGCCGCCGAGTCCAACGCCTCCGGTTCGTAGTCCGTGGGCGCGGAGGGAGGTAGCTGTCCCGCCTCCACCAAAGCCCTTGATAGATGATGCAGCGCCGAGTGTGGTGTCGCCGCCCCATCCTGCACCTTGCTTTTTCGAGAGTTTGGCACGTGTCTTGGGGTCGATTTGCTGCGCGCGGAGTCGTCCGGTGTCTGTGGCGCCGATCATACCCATACCTCTCGTAGAGTCGCCGTAGCCTACTTCCTTCTCTTCTTTGCCGAAAACCATGCGATTCTGAGCCTTGGCCAGTTCAGATTGCGAATTTGAAGCCTTCTGGGCGCGCGCCCTTCGACCGCCACGCTTCTTTGAAGTCCGCTCATCTGGTGCTGGAAGCGCGCGCTGGCCCTTGTTCGCCGGAACGGCGGAGAGATGGGCGATGCGACGTTCACAGTCATCTTTGAACTGAATTCCAGTGCTGTTGTCCTTTGTACCACCCGCTGCTGCGTCGACGCGTGCACAGAGGATAGCTTTTCCAGCCACGATCCTCATGGCTTGTTTACGGAGATCCTGCCGAACAGACTGAACGATAGGGCTATGATAGAGGTACCCTTGATCCCTCACACCGATATTCGTTGCAAGACCAAGTCCACTGGCCTTATTGGAGCCCAAAGGCGCCAAATTGCAGGACGGTGTTTTGGCGAGTGACTGAATGCCTGAGCAGGTGCTGATCAGCTTCGCAGCTGTTTCAGGGCCCAAAAGTGCGGTGAGATTTGGCGCAAACGAGGTCATGCGCGACTGTACAAATTCCAGGAGGACGTCCTTAGCTTCATCTAGGTGAAGTAGTAGTTTGCATGCGTCCACCACGAGAGAGAGTTCGGCGTCGCTCAAGTCGCGGCCCTGAGTCCTCGTACCCTCTACGACGACGACCATGAGCTCAGCCTGGGAGAGGATGCCCTTCAACGGTACACCTACGACGTTGTCCGCGCTTTGAGCGATGGATTTGAGGTCGGAAAGAGGGCCGTTCTGGATGATAGCAACAGATTTTGCATAGACCCGAGGGTTCCGTACCAAAGTGGAGAGACCAGGAAAGCGAGCCTCATAGATGTCCATGATATACTTGTGGACTGCGTGAACTTCGCCGTCGATTTGCGTGGAATACTCGTTTGCCTGTTCCAACAATGCATAAGCCTCGCTATCTTCATCGTCGTCGACTACCTCCATTTGATCTTTCGCCTCAGAGAGACGCTCAAGGACAGGCTGGAGCGTCTCGTAGAGCGTCTGCGCGCCCCGAGTGCCTGTTGGTGCTGACTGCTGCTTCTTTTTCGCATACTCGGCTTCCTCATCAACCATCTCTTGATCCTCGTCATCGTCTCCGAGGGTCGGATTTGAGTCAGCGAGATCGTTTCCGTAGTCTTCGTCTCCCGAGTCGGCGAAATCAGCCATAAGCTCCTGCTCGAGGGTCGCCATATTGGGTCCTGAAGGTATTCGGGGTATTACCAGAGATTTCCAGGCGGCTAAGTTTTCGATCGGGGTTAGTGGGGGTCAGTGTTTATAGTGAAGGGTGAGGAGAGAGGTTGTAGATTATTAGGGTAGGGAGATGATTCATGAAAAAGAAGCCGCGGTTGGGGCGACGCGCAGCACAGAAGGTTCGAGGCTTGGCGTGGACCCTGGCACGTGCCTTGATGCCTTGTCTCGCGACTAAAGCTTCCCCAACTTTTTTCCGTGCACGACATCCGACACCGCGCAAATCATCCGGCATCATGGAGAGCTCACGAGGACCTCCCGTAAGTGTACTTAGCTATGGAGCATGCTCTGGGTCTTACTAACACCCTCCAGCGAGTGCGCAACAAGGCCGCCGCCCCAGTCCAAATCAGCGCCGAACAGCTGCTCCGTGAAGCCGTCGACCGTCAGGATGACAAGCTCAAGGCGCCGACGCAGCGCTTTGCCGACCTCGAGGAACTGCACGAGTTCCAGGGCCGGAAGCGGAAGGAGTTCGAGGACTATGTTCGGCGCAACAGGATCAACATGAACAATTGGACACGCTATGCGGACTTCGAATTGCAAAACAAGGAGTTCAGACGAGCGCGATCCATCTTCGAGCGCGCGCTGGACGTCGACTCGACCCATATCCCGCTCTGGCTCAGATACATTGACTCGGAAATCCGGGGCCGCAACATAAATCACGCGAGGAATCTGCTGGACCGCGCGGTTACCATCCTACCGCGAGTCGATAAGCTCTGGTACAAATTTGGTACGTTGGGCTCCTGTAAACCTCTACACCTGACCGAATTGGCTAACATTGAACAGCCTACCTCGAAGAGACCCTCAGTAATATCGATGGTGCGCGCTCAGTCTTTGAGCGATGGATGCAGTGGGAACCCAGTGAGGACGCATGGTCTAGCTTTATAAAACTCGAAACCCGCCACCAAGAGATTGAACGAGCCAGATCGATCTTCGAGCGCTTCACCGTCGTACATCCGGAGCCCAAGAACTGGGTGAAGTGGGCGAGATGGGAACAGGACCATGGGACCAGCGACCTTGTGCGCGACGTATACGGCACAGCAGTGGAGACACTCGGCGACGAGTTTATGGATGAGAAGCTTTTTATCGCATACGCCAAGTTTGAAGCAACATTAAAAGAGATGGAACGCGCCCGTGCGATATACAAGTTTGCCTTGGACCGGATGCCGCGATCGAAGTCTGTAAACCTGCACAAAGCCTTTGTCCAGTTCGAAAAGCAGTACGGCGATAGAGACGGCATCTTGGACGTCATTCTGTCCAAGCGGAGAGTACATTACGAAGAGCAGGTCAAGGAGAACCCCAAGAACTACGACGCATGGATTGATTTCGCACGACTGGAAGAGTCGTCGGGAAACCCAGATCGTGTAAGAGATGTATACGAGCGGGCGATCTCGCAAATACCACCAACACAAGAAAAGCGGCATTGGAGAAGGTACATTTACCTTTGGCTGTTCTACGCTTGTTTCGAGGAACTCTCGGGCGACATGGACAGAACACGGCAGATCTACCAAGAGTGCATACGCCTCCTTCCACACAAACGCTTCACCTTCGCGAAACTCTGGCTCAATTTTGCGAAGTTCGAGATCCGCAGGGGCCAGCTCTCCACAGCTAGGAAGCTCCTTGGTCAAGCAATCGGCATGTGCCCCAAGGACAAGCTGTTCCAGGGCTACATTGAAATCGAACAAAACTTGTACGAATTCAATCGTTGCCGGACGCTGTACGAGAAGTACATTGAGTGGAACGGGTCAAACTGCCAGACCTGGATCAAATTTGCCGAGCTCGAACGCGGCCTCGATGACGTCGTCCGCGCTCGCGCACTGTTCGAGATCGCAGTCAACGAGCCACAGATGGATATGCCGGAATTGCTATGGAAGGCATACATCGACTTTGAAGAAGGCGAAGGAAACTACGACAGAACGCGGGCTTTGTACGAACGCCTACTCGAGAAGACAGATCACGTCAAGGTCTGGACCTCCTGGGCGCAATTCGAGCTATCCGTTCCGGACGATGACGATGCTGGCACCGCAGATGACGATGAGGAGCGCCCCGTCAGCGAAGCCGCCAAGTCACGTGCCCGCGATATTTTCACACGCGCACACACGCGCCTCAAAGACCTCAACGCAACCGCCGACCGCGTCGCGCTACTCAACGCATGGCGCTCCTTCGAAAACATACACGGCACCGCAGAAGACCAGGAGAAGATCGAGAAGCAGATGCCGCGCAAGGTCAAGAAGAGGAGAAAGCTCGACGACGGCGAGTTCGAGGAGTATGTGGATTACGTCTTCCCCGCGGACGACGAGAGTGCGGCGAAGTTGGCGAAACTTATGGCGAATGCGCAGAAGTGGAAGGCGATGCAGGCGGCGCAGAAGCAGGAGGCGGAAGGGGCTACGGATGGAGAGTAGGAAGGGCGAGAGATTGGAGCCGATTCGAAATTTGTATTAATATGTATAGCAGTATACTGCAGGTTGCAAAGTAGGAGGAATCGAGGGAAGGCCGAGACACAAGCCATTGAATGAACTTTCTTGGATCTGCAACAAGTCAACGCAAGCCACACACAAGCTACATTCCTTCATCTCTCTATTCGCTAAGGACATAGAGCAAGGCACACAAGTCTCTTCCCTTCGTATGAGACAACCTGCGATATGCATGCCGCGCTTGCGGTCAATGAAACAGCCTTGAAATAACTAACCTACACGTCGACAAGTAATAACAGACCATGGATGTCCTCGCAAAACTACGAAGCTGCGGATGAACTTTAATCAATCCGCGAATACCTACAGGCATGTTCTTCTCGGGAATGAGATGCTCTAAGCTGTCAGTGAATTGTGGGACAGTAGACAAGTAAGAGCCAATTGACTATCTAAATCAGCCGTGACAAGGTGTTACTTTTGAAGTAGCGGTTATCGCAAGCAAGCAACTTCTCCAGCTTAACAAGTAGCCCACGCTTAACTGTAAGAGCAAAGAGGAGTGCGCTGGTTAAGATGTAGAAGCTTTGACTTTAGGGAAAGAAGAGCCCGCGCTTAGCCTCTATGCATATCTTGTTGTATGGGTTCTGGTGGCTCTTCATGAAGCAAAAGGTAATGCTGCATGCATTTCCCTTCTTTAAGGGCTGAACTTAATGTCTAACCATTGGAGTATAGAACATCTACAGGTTCTGCTGTACGATCATTGTCTCTTAAGTAAAACTATGTAGCGTCCCTCCAGAAGCAAAACGATAGAATTGGCAACACAGCAAGCGATAGTAGAGCCTAGATATCCTCACAGACTTGAAGAGCAGTAAAGCACGGTCGTAGGATCTAGATAGAAGTCAGACATTTGGGTCGATTTTGACTAGCACGACATTCAAACATTTCCTAAAAATGGCAAAAAGACATCAGAGGTTGACAAAAAGGCAAAAAGACGCAAAAAAGATAATAATGGTCAATACGGGGGTCGAACCCGCGACCTTGGCGTTATTAGCACCACGCTCTAACCAACTGAGCTAATCGACCGATAGTTATCAAGTAATTGATGGAAGAAAGTCAATACAGCTGCTTTATATACGTAACAATTAAGATGAACATCAGGGATCAATCTCGTGACGACGCACTGCAAACTCGTGCTTGTGCAAGTGCAAGCGGGGCTGCAGTGAGATGTGGGGTAGAAAAAACTGTTAGTATGACTCTTGTATCAGCCTGTACTCATTTCCAGCCCGACCAAGAGATTTTAGCCGAAAAACTAGAATTTCGGACATAAATCACATAGTCTGGAACGACTCATCTCCAATTACATTTAGAGGCAACATCAAAAGTCAATTCAGACATCCAGCCTCGGCAGTCTACGTCGATGAAACCATGTTGGTGCGAGCATTAGCACTCCACAGCGCGTCCACAACCTAACCCACCTTACCAAACCTTCCCATCCCGCCCCTCCACACCCGCGTACAACACCCATCGTATTCGGCACCTTCGGCCCTGTCAAACACCCGTTCGTTAAATCCCGCTGCTCAGCATCATCCACGACACCTACCGTGTGCGCCCAGCACCCAAGCAAAGGCCCGCCCTGGACCCACCCTGCGCGAGCACAGCAGCGCACCGCAAATGAGCCGAAGGAGTTCGGCGTCCGTTTGTCGTTTCTAAACATGCCACAGACCGCATGTTCGGTGCCACGAAGCGGGCGGCGCTTCCGAGTCGCTTCGCTTCACGCAGGAGGACGTTGCTAGTTTGGCCCGTAGCGTGCTGGTCACGGCATGCGAGATCGTCGTTTCCGGCGCAGTGGGAATTCTCCGGCCGTTTTGAAGTGATTCATGGGGCGCTGGGTTGGTGTTGCGTTGGGGCGACGACGTGTTGTAACCTGCGGTGAGTGGTGTTTGGTCATGGTGCCTGGTTTTGGTTGAGATGAGAAGCATTTTAACGCGAAGACTCCCTCCTCGCCGCGGTTAGTGAGACGTGTGCTTGTCGAGCAAGTCAAAGAATCTGTAGCGTGTGCGCTGTTCTGGTAGGCAGGAGTCGTGCGTCCGGTCAGCGTGACACTGGAGTGGCGGTGAACTGGCCCTTGGCTGTTAATAAGAGCACTTCTGATGGTGAGTTCGCCTGAATCAGGACAGCTAATCAAACAGGTCCGTCGGAAGGGGTTTACGGTTTGATTAGCCATCCATCTGTTGAAGCCTGTGGTGTGACGGATGACTGCTTTGTGGCACCAGCATAGCAAGGCGGGTATTGCTGGGATCAAGCATTTTCCGACAACTCCAGACACTTCACTGTGCGATAGTGATCTGTCGGTGTCGGGTGCATCAGACGAGGGTATCGGTTTGTGTTCTGATATGAGCCTCGCTGTTCTCGGTGAGGTTAGGACTTCCAAAAGCTGTCCACGCGATGTACATGGACTTGACGTTATGCATGAACCAGTGTGTACAGGTAACTCGACAATTTCTAATTTGGATCTCCTGCCATCTGCCGCCAAACATCTAACAACTCCGTAATGTTACGTGCCAAGAACGAAGCCCCTGGAGGTGCTAGGCTCGTGGGAGAAAGATAAGTTACCACCAATCGCAGGACACGACGAAGTCGAACTGGGTATATAGTATGTGCCCGCCCAGAGAATGTCTTAACCACCAGCTCCACACGCTAGATGCAGAGAAACGCAGAAAGCAAAAGGTAACAAAGAAAAATGATATAAGGGGCAGATGTACAATCGCGGCGCGTACAACTTAGTGCAGGTTGGTTAAAAAAATTCCATTGCTGGACACGGATAAGGGTCTACATGCAAGGAAACTGGCACAATCGCTGGATTCCAGCACGCAAATTTTGTAATAGCGAAAGCCGAGTCTTTTGTACGCTAAAACCGGCACAAGAGTTCGCCTGAGGTGGATGCCTTCGTAGGATCGGTGACCAGGGTTTAAGGTTGCCCTAGATTCGAGAAATCGTCATGCTATGAAGATCTTGCCACCGCCCAAGATAGCATCGCCATGTCGCATATACGAGCAATAACCTGTTGTGAGCCCTGTCGACTTTCGTGGCTGATGAATGACATAGCGACCACAAGCTTGTTCAGGTCGTTATCCTCTCCCGTGTTCATCGGCGCAGGTAGTGCGTTAGGGAAGCCTGGAGTCCGACTGCCACAATGGCGTGCTATCGCGATACTATAGATAGCGTCACGCACCTCCTGCACCTGTAAGACACTGCGCATGGTGCCAAGTGCGTAGTCTGCGGCGCCATGAGGCGCATTGTTGGCGCCAGAGTGCTGTACAAAGTCGCCTAGGTGTAGCCAGAAATCTACTTCTGCCTTCTTGTGGTCTGGGAGATCAGGTGGATACGATAGCTGACGCAGCGGATTCGATACCAAATTTTGATTGGTGAGAAGACATTCCAGGACATCGAATCGCGCCCGCACTTCTCTTAATGTAGGGTCCTCGTTCTCGATGGAGTGCTCGGTCGCGTGCGTGCCATTTGTGTTGGGTGTTGGGTGTTTGCACGTGCCGAGGAGGTGCCAGATGAGCCGAGCTTCTTGACTAAAAACGCTCGCCATGTCGGCCGTCTGAGATTTAGATCTCATGCACTCGGTAAAGTATGCAGCTTCTTCGTGCAATGCCCGGTTGGTGAAGACTCGACTCAACGCGTTGTTGTTTGTTGTGAACCAGTTTGTCTGCAGCATAACGTCGAGTCCTTGGCAATAGTCATTCACAAAGATCTTGGCAAAATCATCGTCGATTTCTGGAGGTATGGCTGTTAGGCGGGTGGGCACGTCGGGCGGGCTGTGGTTGCAGATGCCGAAGATGTCGGGCATGGTCAGAGGCCTCCCTAACAATTTGTTAGCTGATGATCGGTAATCTTTGATTCCTGAGACTGTTGGCGCAATCGACTCTTCGCGTTGCATTTCTTCACGATGCTTTTTAGCGCATATATGAGGGCGGTGAGTACTAACCTCTAGTCGGCTCAAGCGGCGGCGGTGGATGAGGGTATGCGCTCGCGCCCGGTGGTCCCCTCATCGCGGGATCCATGTTGTGTACACCGTTGCTGTAGGGCTGCACTTGATGCAATGCTTGTCCTGGCGGAGGGGCAAGCGCAGGATCGATCGCGTTGAAGTTCTCTGATGGATGCGCGCCACTTGTTGCAGATGCGGCGGGCGCGTAGCCTGATGACGAGGCGGGTGCGTAGCCCTGGGGAACAGGACTTTGGCTGTATGTGGAGGAGTCGGGCGCGGGTGCGGGCGCTGGGGTAGTCGAGTGTGGTGCTGGCGCGGAGTTGGGTGCGGGTTGTATTTGGGCGGGGCCGGGCTGCTGCTTGAAGATGGGGTCGTAGCCAAGACACTCGCGTTTGCTCTTTGCGCAGTTTCTGCACATGGGGTGGGCTTCGTCGCACTGTCGGGGAGGTAAAGTTAGCGTGCGGTTGAAATAGAGACTGGTAGGTTTGGCTCGCTTCGTGTGGCTAACCGACTGAACGCGTTCGCGTAGGACCAATCGCGCGATTGACGTCCGCGCGAAGCGCAAAGCGCGTAGTGAAGGCTAGAGGCCCTCGGAACGTTTGAAGGAATTCGACATGCGCGCAGGCTGCACTCACCTTTATTCGTCTCTTACGACAAGTCAAGCACCCAGTCTTCGTACGGCGCTTGATCTCCTTCTTATGGCGACCCCCCGACAGCACCCGCTGGTCATGCTGCTGCGGCGGCAGCTGGTATCGCATGGCGGCATTGTACTGGGCGGGCCCCATGTTGGCCATCATCTGCTGGCCTTGCGGCGCATGGGGATGCGACTGGTGGCCGTAGTACTGGGGCATTCCATGTGGCGGGGGAGGTAATGGCGAGCCCATGGGCTGCTGGACCGGCTGCTGCTGAGGCGGCGGTGGTTGCTGCCCGTCTTGCAGTCGTATTGGCGGCAGGTTGAGGGGCGGTAGCGACATGTTGGTGCCCTGCGGCGACCCCCGGTAGGCTTCATTGCTCTGTTGCGGCGGCGGATACGTGTACGTGGGCTGCATCGAGGGCGACGGGTACGAGTGTGGAGAGGGATAGCCCACGGGCTGCTGCTGCTGCTGTCTTGACTGAACGTTCGGATCCGCCATGCTGGACTGCGAAAAGTGGGATGGCGCGGGCGAATATGGCGCGGAATTGATCTGGGTGGTAAAATCGTGTGACATGGGCTAGCAATATGAAGCCGCCCGAGCGCAGCGCAGGCTGGCAGAGAACTTGGGAGGAGCTGCAACACGGCGGCTCGCTTGTGAAAGATGATATCGCCAGCAGCAGATGGGAAGCACAGGGTAGAGATCCTTGACACAGCGTTGGCGAGAAGCGGCCGAGGCGCGTTGGCGTCCGGATGGGGTAAAACACCAGGCCAGGGGTGTGCACGTCTGCTGCAAGTCACTGCGGCCGGGCAGTCGAGCGCTGCGCGGTAGATTAGCAGCCGGGCGAGGCAGTGATCAGTCGCTAGGGACGGGCAGGCGGTCACGAGTAGGGCCGAGGGGCGCAAAAGCAAAGGGTTCAAGCAGCAGCAAGACGCCAAAAAACACGTCAAGAATGCGGGCCATGGGCCATGGCATGTTCGGCGGCAGGGAGGGCTAGCCGCCTTGAGCAGGTCGCGAAGAACGTGGCAGTGCGCACTGTGCGCGCCATGAGATGGGGTGCTGGACAAATGCAAATGTACTCACAGGACTACTGGAGCTGGCTGGGAGCTGCAGCGGGAGTACGTTGGGCGGTCGCGCTACGGCGCTCGCTTGCAGTGGCTGCGATGCCTGTCGACCCGCTTTGCAAGGCTCGCGCCGACGGTATTCGCAGTGCAGTATAGTGCGTGGGACGTGGTAGTGAACAGTGCAGCGTCGCCAACGGTGGCATTCGCATCGATGCAGGTGGATTGGAGAGAACGACGGCGCTGGAAAAAAGAAAATTAGCGTCCATGGCCGTCGTCTCATCACGTGAGCCACCCCTGCTGCTCTGCGCGCTCCTCGATAGCCACTCCCGGCGCCTTCGCATATCTGCCCTCCGCAGCTGTTCTTCCTGCAATCAGCTTCGCTATGGCGCCTCT